AAACAAAATCAAATTTTTATAGTTTTGCGAATATCAGATCATTATGAGAATCATGTATTGATCGGAATAACTTGAAGTACTCTTTTTGAGGACGCAATTAATTGTCACAATCTTGGAGAGGTGTGATATCATAATATTAATGATTCGAATGCTATTTATCGCTTTATTCGTTTGAAAACTTATCAATTTTATTAAACTGAATTGAAACGATATTTAGCACATTCTAAAGCATTAAAGACAATTTTTAAATGTAAAAAACTGTCTGGTTTAAAATTTTGAAAGAGAAAATTAATAAGAATCTAAATGAATTAATTCAAAAATAAGCTAAAACTAATTATACAACAAGTTGAATTTTGTATTCATTAAATTTCAGATCTTTAACTATTGAATCTATTGCTTTATTCTAATGATTTTTTTTGATTCTAAAATAAGCTTTAATTTCCAAATTAAAAAAATCGAATTCAAACTTCATTATATATTGTTCAACCTATTGAATCATCATCTCATTGGAAAAATTGTAAAGTACTTGATAACACATATCAATCCTACTAGTTGTTATAGATTTTTTTATTTGATAGTCATATCAACCTGTAAAATTTTTATAAGGGTTTACTTGATATCACGTATCGACCTGTATATTTCAACGACAATCAGTTTCACTTCAACTTTCTTAATTTAAAGTCGCAATTGCAACAGTTGAATCATAGCAAAACTGAGGATAACAAAAAGGATGAAAAGTATCGGACAATATTTTTATTTCAAGAAACTTCATTAGATTGAAGAATTTGAGTTTAAGAGGTTCTTACTTTGAAATTCGCAGTAAATTCAAATTAAAGTTTTAAATTTTGAAACTATCAAATAGAATCAAGTTTCTTAGAATCGAATGAGTCAAGTAACTTGATTTTGTGCCTTTTGCATGTAGAATATTGAGCATACAGAATGAAAATTAGCAAAAATCTTTTTGTTATTCTTTGGTCTTGTCCATTGATTAGAAAACTTTAATTAAAAATTGATCATCAATTAAGTGAATTTCAATATATTCTACTTTTCCAGTAAATTAATCGTATTTCCACAAAAATTGCGTAATGAAATAATTTTAACTTGTGTGTACATTAAAGTGATATATAAATACTAAAGAGTCATTTTAAAAACGACGTTCTTTTATCAAGGAAGATTTTTACACTTATTAAAGAAAAAAAGGAATGATCTAGAATATTCAACTTCAGAAAAAATATAGGCTGTTATAAATACTCATTAGCTTAGTACATATTCAAATTAGCTGAGTCATAATTACTCGGAAAGCTAAGAAAATAATTTCTTTGAAAGATCCAGCAATTAAGGGAAACAAAAACCTACTGGATGATTAACTTTCCAAGAATTTCAATTGTTCTCGACTTAAGTAACTTAATTCAAATGAGTAAAAGTCAAAATTACCTCGTTTTTTAATTTTTCAGGAAATTAAACTCCTTAATCTTCAATCCGCAAATAAAGACTTCTTTGATGAATTATTTGAGAATTAGAATTAAATAAACTAATTATTCCTGAATTAAAGGATTTTCTCTGTCAATTTTAGTTTTTTTGTTTGAGCATATAACTTAAAATGGTGGAATAAAATACTAGCTGAATAACGGGGTACAAAGCTAAGCTATGCAAAGTAAGAAGTTCAAAATATATTTGTCATCTATCAATTTCGTATCAAAGGCAGAAATCTATTCAAAGCATCAAAAGGAATCTATGTCGAGGCTTGCTTAGCCAAAGGCAATGCCTAGAAATAGGTAACATTTTGTGTTGTTGAGTAGGCAAAACCAAGATTAGATTCATTTATTTGCTTATTTTTGTTTAAAAAATATCGCAAAAAAGCACCAACTTGATTCTAATATAGATTTTGGTTAGGTAGAGGCATGCCTAAGATATGCAATGCCTAGGCAAACTGATCATTCCACACTTTTTTTTTGTCTGTTCGTCTATCATTCTATCTCCTAATTTGATCTTTTTGTGTGGTTTTTGGATTATAATATGTGTGCGGTATATGGCTTGCGATTGACAAACTTTAAAACAGCACTTTAAAACAGAAAAGTTAAAATTAAATCTTCTTTACTTCATCTAAATACTGAGGATGATCAAAACAAGACCAGCGATGACTGGATAATAATGAAGTTCCAATTAAACTCTTAACGAATGAGCTTTTATGTTTAATGTATATCCTTTTATTGAGTAAATAATAAAAATTGAATAAAATTTTTGAAACCAATTTTCTCTGAGACTTTAAATTTATAACTCTATATTCTTTTTTTAGCTTTTTTGCCGTTCCATCAGATTCAGCATTGCAGAAGATTTGATTTTAAATTAGTCATGTTCTATAGAATATTTGTTGATTATTCTTGAAGATCTCATTGAATTATTTTTGAATGAAAATGGCAATCTTCAGCTGAGTGCTTTTAGCTTTATCAACTTTTTAACAACCTTCTTTAAGCTAAAAATGGATTTCATAATTTTCAACTTATGACAAATTTTTTCTGAAAAAAGTTCTGCTATCTTAAATGACACACATGAAATCAGCTTGAATTCATCAATTTCAAAACATCGAAAAAAAAAATGAACACGTGGAAATCTTTTGAGTGATTGGAAGAAGGCACGAAATGCATCATGACTCGCTGAAGCACAAAGGAATTAAATATGAGTGAGAATTTAAATGGCATTAAGAAGATATGAAAAAATCTCAAACAAGCATGAAACTACAAAGACATCAAACAAAATCCGACGATATAGACATATGGACACAATGCTTAATATGGATGTCCCTTTCAATTAAGAACTAGACGACATTCGAAAACTATGATGATAAAGGAAGTGCCTGTGCGGATAGTTTTGATATCCAAAACGTGTGAAAATCAATGAGTTATAAATAAAATCAGCATTTTCTTGATGAAGTCATGAGACAACGGACGATCATTTCAAAATAACAGAAGCTGTTGAAGTTGAGAGTGATTGATTAATTTCTACATCGTCGTACATGCTTAATCGCTGAAAACAGATTAAATTAGTGTTCAACAATTATTGTGGATATTTTAATGTACTGAATATGTTCTTGCATCAAGTACACTACCAAATTTCAGTCAACGAAGTTTATGCCGTCTTTAAAATTACGCGTGAAATTTATGGAAATGCTGCTCAACTCGACATTCTTCTCTGTCATCTTACAAGAAAGACTTCGAATCACGCATGGTAGAATCAAATGTCATTCGTCCACTAATTCAATCAGTGCTTTTACAACATAGCTTTGGAAATGAACCTGCTGATGATGTTAGCCGATTACATTTGTACTTGAAAATTTGTTAAAAAATATCATCAGCTAAAAGGACCTTCTCTGGAACACCACTGGAACTGAAACATGGACATAGTCAACATTCGTGATGTATTTCTGCAAGCAAAATCCAGTTTAACCAAGCGCGTCAACGAATACCTAACAGTGGATCATCTAATTTAGCTCGCAGTAAGTCATTGTTGCTTCAATTCTCTCTGACAATGCTTCATCACCTTCCGCAAAATTGACAATATCCCAAACGTATATTTTCTTCGTTTTATGTGAAATTTTAAACTTGGCTTAATTTGTCTCCGAATTGATTTATTGAATTTGAAATTTCAATAGATTTCTTCTTAGCTGCTTCTCACGCTTCTTTTGTAATATCCTTTTATTTTTCCTAACCATGACAATTTAACTGGTTTTGATGGACCATCCAATTTTAATTCATCTTAAGCTCATAGCGTTTCCGGAATCTAGAGGAATTGCTCTGTCTATTCATTATAATTGAGAGCAATGTAGGAGATGATACAACCTTTCGACTTTTTGCTTACATTACCGAGTGCAAGTTTATTCAGTTTCTCCCAAACACTGTCCTAAGAACAGTCAGCTTCATCTTGACTTGACGTATTTAAATTATCAATTAGTGACTTTTCATTAGGATTGAATGTTTAGATATTTGGATATTTTGTCAAATTTTTACTACCTGAATTGCATGCAATTTATGATGAATTATTTTCTAATCCATTTTTCTTTTATTTTAGCTCAACGACGATTCGTATCATGACTACATTCTCATCTTGGAATAAGACTGTGAATATTCGGAGGATGGAATTGTTTTTCATCACACTTATCGAGTAAATGTCTCAAAACAACTCCAAATCAATTAAAGAAAATTCTTATGAATGAAGGATATTTTTCGAGTAATGTAACGAAGTTATGAATTGAATCATGACTCCTTATTGTAGGACAAAGAAAAAGGATACGATTAAAGCTCTAGATGGAGATGACATTCAATGAGATTACATGCGAAGAAAAATGTGAACTTAAAAGAATAATAAGCAGTTTTGGAAAATCACCAATCAAGCATGTAACTACACAGACATTAATTGATGACAAGATACGACACAGACTATCGAATTCAAAAAGATTTTATGCAGTTTTATCGTTTCATCGATTTTATCAAATATGTAAAGTCCGTAAAAGTACTGATCTGTAAAGTCGGTAAATTTAAAAGAAAATACAACAGACTCAAGAAAATGTCTCAAGATAAAAATATTCTAGTCGAAAGTTTTTATTAGTCCAACAAGACATGGAGATCTTTCAATTACAGTCAGCTTACACCGTCGACAGCAAATATATCAAGCAAGTAACACGACAATCAAGAAAGTTGTCCATGAAGCTGAGGAATCAGATAAAAATAAGACAATAAGAACTCAAATTACACGAAAAGATTAAAAGGTATGTAAAATAATATTCAGCATATCTTTGATGAAACATAAGACAACAGGCAATCATTTCTACTTTAAGCATCACGAAAGAATTAAATTTGGTTCACGCACCAATCTAATCGGCACCCGTACATGACTTTGTAAATGAAACTACTGGTGATGTTAGTCAATTAAATATGTCCTCAAAATTGGATTCAAAATTAACATCAGTTAAAAGAACCTTTCTAGATCTCAATTGGAACTGAAACATGTTCATAATCAACATTTTGAAGGATCTTGAAGCATTAGGAGCAAGTAATGGAACTTACTAGTAAGTCATTGTAAATTCATTAGGATTGAACATGTGAATATTTGGATGTTTTGTCAAATTTTTACTACCTGAATCGCATCCATTTTATGATGATTTATTTTCTTAACCATTTTCCTTATCTTTTAGCTCAACGAAGTTGCGTATCATGACTACATTTGCATCTTGGAATAAGACAGTGAATATTTGGAAAGACGGAATAGTTTTTCATCACACTTATCGTGTAAATGTCTCATATTTTAACAAGATTACACACTCCTTTGTGCTGCTAACGATTGAGAGTGTGTCAGATTTAAGTACTGGGTACACTTTTTCTTGGGAACAACAGAAATTTGCTGGTGAGTTCTGATTACTATTACTTGATTTTTGAACATTCTCATTAAAGTAATCGACTTTCTGGAAGAACTAAAAAGTTCACAATTCAGAAAATTTATTTTCCGAACCCAAGCATAAATTAATTCTTAATTAAACATGATATAAGTCTTATGCGTTTTAATTTTTATGTCTATAAAATAAGCCAGATCTTTTATCTGCACATCTAAATGGCAAAATTAATTATTAATGAATTATCATCAAACTTTTGAAAATTAGTGCCTATATTTTAAACTTGAGTATAACCCTTCATGATTTAAAGCCTTCTTATCTTATCAATAACACAATCATTATGCAATTTTTTTTTTGAAAAATTTTGCATTAAACTTTTCACTTCTTTTTATTGGAACTAGAAATATTAGACATTTGGGACATTTACTTAGCTGCTTCTCACCCGTAATCTCACTTGTTCAGAAATAAGAGGAGGTCAAGAAATTACCGACAAAACAGTTGCACAGAAGGATTGCTTAAAAGATGGGGATGAAGAAATCTTAATGTCAATCAGTTGATATGAATTTGAATATTTGTTCAAAAATAACATCAGCTAGAATGACCTTTTCTGGGCCTCCTTGTCACTGATGTCCAGCAACTAGGAAGAAGAATTTAATCAGGAAAATGATAATCAAAATAGAGTTGATTTTAGTCAAGAAGTCATCAAGCAGAGAAGAAGATTATCAATTTCAAAAATTACCAATTTTAATTTTCGCTAGTTCTAAATCTCTGTGCATTAATTAAAGAATTTTCTAACTTTACAGAAGCTGTTGAAGCCATTGAACATCATTTATTATTTGCAACTCATTGTCGGTAACTGCTACATCAGCTGAAATTAATCGTCATCACTTATTGTCAAATGACTGCTCAACACGATATTTTTGCAAGAATTAAATCAAGATGATCTACCAATTAGTTCACCACTAGTGCAATATGGCTGTGCAAATAAAACTAAAAAGCTAAATGGATCTTCCCTGGATTATCATTGAATTTAAAGAATCGACAACACTATGAAAGGATCGTGAAACATTTCAGGAAGCAGACTCATGTGGAAACAAGGAATCAAGCTCACAGTAAGTTATTTCTTCTTTAATTCTTTATGAAACTGCATCACCACTATTATCCTTCTGTAATCTTGAGAATACTATATCTCACTTTTATATTTTCTTCTTTAAATACGAATAGTGGAACTGCTGAAAAATCTGATTTTAATTAATTGCTTCTCAGACTTTTTCTCACTTTTTCTCCTTAATAACCGTTTTTTTCAATTAATTTTTTGCAGTCCAGCCAATTTCAAGCTACTTTTCGATGCAGAAATTTTCACATCGACTAGCTGGTCATTAAGCAAGACGAAACACCAGCTTCAAGTTCTGCACCCCCAAGTCTACAAGGAATCGTTTTTAAACTCAGCATTTACGCCAACAAAAAGTAAGTCAACTTGAGATTTTAACTTGAATAATTCTTTTATTCCATTTTTAGGATTTATGCATGTATAAAATTAGGAATTGCCCCACCGTCCTGCCCAAAATTTTTTTTGGCACCTAGAAAAATTGAATTTTAGTGAAAAATGCAGCCAAAATGTTTCTGATCTTAATTGGGTGACAAAAGCAACATGAGCCAAAAAGATGGAGCCATAATGATGAGTTCATGAAAAAGAGGCTGCAAATAAAGCAATTTCATGACTTGAACAAAATAAGCAGCAAAGGAAGTAAGCTATAGATTAAATCTTATTTGCCCAAATCTTAACAAAGATCCATCACAAATCATGCTTGCTAGTTTAAAACTTGGCATCAATTTTGGTTCTGTTGTTTGCCTTATTATGAATTAATTGCAGATGCTCAGTTGGAGGAATCAAAAAGCAATGCACTAGACAATGGAAATAATGAATTTTGTCTACGACTAGGTTACTCGTTGGTGATTTAATTGTCTTACTAGCAATATTAATTTTATACAAATCTAAAATCCAATTTTTATTCCACAGGAATGCAGCTCTAGTTAACAAGAGCCTAAGGTTTTTCTTTGCATTGGAATTTTGATATCATTCTATTTGTCTTCCTTGGATTTTAAAACTTATCAAGAAGTTTTCTTTTGGAGCTTCAAAAGTCGTAGAACTAAGTGAGTAAATGTTTTAAGACATAAATAACAAAGAATCCACAACAAATCATGTTTAATTCTAAAAACTCAACTTAAAATTCAGAATATCTTCTTAAAGCTGATAAATAAGATTGAGCACATAACTAAATTAAGCCAGTTTAACTTTAAATTAATTTATGAACATGCAACAATCGATTCATGTTGAATTTTCTATTCAGACTTATCAATGGATTCTCTGGTTTTCAACGAGGTTTGAGGTTTTTGAGCAGCAACTTGACATGTTTAATACATCAAAAATGTTTATTTGCTTCTTTATGTTAAGATGTTTAGATGCTAAAAATAGTTAAACATTGGAAATTTGAAAAAGAACAAAGATTTATTTTTTATCGAAACTTTGAAGTGATCAGAAAAAGTTTAAATATGATTTTATTTATTTTTAATGTTAAGAACTAGCGAGAAAAATTGAGGCTCATTGTAATTCGATTTCAGTTGTTCCAAAGCGTAAGACTTTTGATGATTTTTCGATGAAAAGTTTACTTGCAAAATCGACTCTTAGCTCAACAAAATATCCATTTAAAATGGCTTCATGCTTACAAAGATCAATTTTCCATTTTGATGTATCTAACTTTGGCACTTCTTCATAGTACGTTTTATTAAGAGTAGCCAAAACATAATGTTCTGGATGAATTGGTGGTCTTTCTGGATCGTATTGAACTATTGTGGTAAAGTAAAACAATACATCTGCTTCATCACTCATATCGGTTATAAAATCGTTAAGATCTTTCCTTCGAATAAAATTTTGCCTGTAATATAAATTAAAATCAAACATTTTTTTTGTTATATAAATTGCTCAATTTAAAACAAAATCAAATTTTTATAGTTTTGCGAATATCAGATCATTATGAGAATCATGTATTGATCGGAATAACTTGAAGGACACCTTTTGAGGACGCAATTAATTGACACAATCTTGGAGAGGTGTGATATCATAATATTAATGATTCGAATGCTATTTATCGCTTTATTCGTTTGAAAACTTATCAATTTTATTAAACTGAATTGAAACGATATTTAAGACATTCTAAAGCATTAAAGACAATTTTTAAATGTAAAAAACTGTCTGGTTTAAAATTTTGAAAGAGAAAATTAATAAGAATCTAAATGGATTAATTCAAAAATAAGCTAAAACTAACTATACAACAAGTTGAAATTTTGTATTCATTAAATTTCAGATCTTAAACTATTGAATCTATTGCTTTATTCTAATGATTTTTTTTGATTCTAAAATAAGCTTTAATTTCCAAATTAAAAAAATCGAATTCAAACTTCATTAATTATTGTTCAACCTATTGAATCATCATCTCATTGGAAAAATTGTAAAGTACTTGATAACACATATCAATCCTACTAGTTGTTATAGATTTTTTTTATTTGATAGTCATATCAACCTGTAAAATTTTTATAAGGGTTTACTTGATATCACGTATCGACCTGTATATTTCAACGACAATCAGTTTCACTTCAACTTTCTTAATTTAAAGTCGCAATTGCAACAGTTGAATCATAGCAAAACTGAGGATAACAAAATGGATGAAAAGTATCGGACAATATTTTTATTTCAACAAACTTCATTAGATTGAGGAATTTGAGTTTAAGAGGTTCTTACTTTGAAATTCGCAGTAAATTCAAATTAAAGTTTTAAATTTTGAAACTATCAAATAGAATCAAGTTTCTTAGAATCGAATGAGTCAAGTAACTTGATTTTGTGCCTTTTGCATGTAGAATATTGAGCATAAAGAATGAAAATTAGCAAAAATCTTTTTGTTATTCTTTGGTCTTGTCCATTGATTAGAAAACTTTAATTAAAAATTGATCATCAATTAAGTGAATTTCAATATATTCTACTTTTCCAGTAAATTAATCGTATTTCCACAAAAATTGCGTAATGAAATAATTTTAACTTGTGTGTACATTAAAGTGATATATAAATACTAAAGAGTCATTTTAAAAACGACGTTCTTTTATCAAGGAAGATTTTTACACTTATTAAAGAAAAAAAGGAATGATCTAGAATATTCAACTTCAGAAAAAATATAGGCTGTTATAAATACTCATTAGCTTAGTACATATTCAAATTAGCTGAGTCATAAACACTCGGAAAGCTAAGAAAATAATTTCTTTGAAAGATCCAGCAATTAAGGGAAACAAAAACCTACTGGATGATTAACTTTCCAAGAATTTCAATTGTTCTCGACTTAAGTAACTTAATTCAAATGAGTAAAAGTCAAAATTACCTCGTTTTTTAATTTTTCAGGAAATTAAACTCCTTAATCTTCAATCCGCAAATAAAGACTTCTTTGATGAATTATTTGAGAATTAGAATTAAATAAACTAATTATTCCTGAATTAAAGGATTTTCTCTGTCAATTTTAGTTTTTTTGTTTGAGCATATAACTTAAAATGGTGGAATAAAATACTAGCTGAATAACGGGGTACAAAGCTAAGCTATGCAAAGTAAGAAGTTCAAAATATATTTGTCATCTATCAATTTCGTATCAAAGGCAGAAATCTATTCAAAGCATCAAAAGGAATCTATGTCGAGGCTTGCCTAGCCAAAGGCAATGCCTAGAAATAGGTAACATTTTGTGTTGTTGAGTAGGCAAAACCAAGATTAGACTCATTTATTTGCTTATTTTTGTTTAAAAAATATCGCAAAAAAGCACCAACTTGATTCTAATATAGATTTTGGTTAGGTAGAGGCATGCCTAAGATATGCAATGCCTAGACAAACTGATCATTCCACACTTTTTTTTGTCTGTTCGTCTATCATTCTATCTCCTAATTTGATCTTTTTGTGTGGTTTTTGGATTATAATATGTGTGCTGTATATGGCTTGCGATTGACAAACTTTAAAACAGCACTTTAAAAGAGAAAAGTTAAAATTAAATCTTCTTTACTTCATCTAAATACTGAGGATGATCAAAACAAGACCAGCGATGACTGGATAATAATGAAGTTCCAATTAAACTCTTAACGAATGAGCTTTTATGTTTAATGTATATCCTTTTATTGAGTAAATAATAAAAATTGAATAAAATTTTTGAAACCAATTTTCTCTGAGACTTTAAATTTATAACTCTATATTCTTTTTTTAGCTTTTTTGCCGTTCCATCAGATTCAGCATTGCAGAAGATTTGATTTTAAATTAGTCATGTTCTATAGAATATTTGTTGATTATTCTTGAAGATCTCATTGAATTATTTTTGAATGAAAATGGCAATCTTCAGCTGAGTGCTTTTAGCTTTATCAACCTTTTAACAACCTTCTTTAAGCTAAAAATGGATTTCATAATTTTCAACTTATGACAAATTTTTTCTGAAAAAAATTCTGCTATCTTAAATGACACACATGAAATCAGCTTGAGAAAGGTAAATTTTGTCATCAACAAAAAAATCGAAGCAACATTTGAAAAAATTTCTTTCTTTTGAATTCATCAATTTCAAAACATCGAAAAAAAAAATGAACACATGGAAATCTTTTGAGTGATTGGAAGAAGGCACGAAATGCATCATGACTCGCTGAAGCACAAAGGAATTAATTATGAGTGAGAATTTAAACGGCATTGAGATTATTTATGAAGAAAATATTAAGCAAAAAAAGGAGATGAATCAAAAATGGAGATGGATCAAAAAATATCCGAAGATATAGACCTATGGACACAATGCTTAATATGGATGTCCCTTTCAATTAAGAACTAGACGACATTCGAAAATTATGATGATAAAGGAAGTGCCTGTGCGGATAGTTTTGATATCTAGCACTGGTGAGAATCAATGAGTTATAAATAAAATCAGCATTTCCTTGATGAAGTCATGAGACAACGGACGATCATTTCAAAATAACAGAAGCTGTTGAAGTTGAACGTGATTGATTATTTACTACTTCGTCGCTTTACATACTTAATCGCTGGAAACAGATGAAATTAGTGTTCAACAATTATTGTGGATATTTTAATGTACTGAATATGTTCTTGCATCAAGTACACTACCAAATTTCAGTCAACGAAGTTTATGCCGTCTTTAAAATTACGCGTGAAATTTATGGAAATGCTGCTCAACTCGACATTCTTCTCTGTCATCTTACAAGAAAGACTTCGAATCACGCATGGTAGAATCAAATGTCATTCGTCCACTAATTCAATCAGTGCTTTTACAACATAGCTTTGGAAATGAACCTGCTGATGATGTTAGCCGATTACATATGTAATTGAAAATTTGTTAAAAAATATCATCAACTAAAAGGACCTTCTCTGGACCACCACTGGAACTGAAACATGGACATAGTCAACATTCGTGAAGTATTTCTGCAAGTAAAATCCAGTATTAGCCAAGCGCCTCAACGAATACTTAACAGTGGAGCATCTAATCTAGCTCACAGTAAGTCATTGTTGCTTCAATTCTCTCTGACAATGCTTCATCACCTTCCGCAAACTTGACAATATCCCAATCGTATATTTTCTTCGTTTTATGTGAAATTTTAAACTTGGCTTAATTTGTCTCCGAATTGATTTATTGAATTTGAAATTTCAATAGATTTCTTCTTAGCTGCTTCTCACGCTTCTTTTGTAATATCCTTTTATTTTTCCTAACCATGACAATTTAACTGGTTTTGATGGACCATCCAATTTTAATTCATCTTAAGCTCATAGCGTTTCCGGAATCTAGAGGAATTGCTTTGTCTATTCATTATAATTGAGAGCAATGTAGGAGATGTTATAACCTTTCGACTTTTTTTTTACATTACCGAGTGCAAGTTTATTCAGTTTCTCC